ATCTGCTGCCTTCCAGGATGGGAAGGAGGGGAGCTGGGGATTGAAGCAGGCACTCCCAATGCAGGATGTGGCCATCCTAAGTTGCTGTGGCTAACGCTGCCTCAACAGAGTGTTTTGAAAAACTGGAACTGATCCAACTGATACCCTGCACATCTGCTTCAGTGTCTATGAATTAAAGCAGGCCTGACCCAGCGAGGAGAGTTAGCAAAATCCTAAAATTAGAACACTGCATGTATGTATATTGCTTCATAGACTTCATGTTTCCTCTTTGAAGATTAGGAAACTGAGACTCAGAAAAATAAGTAACTTACATAATGTCACAACTAGTTAGCAACCGATGTCCTTTTGAGTTCTACCCTGAAGGTTGTGAAAGCGAAGATTTGGAGGGGTAGGGACAGCTTACCTAGTGGGTTGCATGTAGGATTTTGTCTGGTACAAGCAAGGAGTATCAGCTGGCCTGGTCAGCCTCTATCTGCCCTGGACCTGTGAGTACCCTGAAGGCTAGCTGGAAGGCCCACAGTAGAACTTGGTAATGGCCCTGGTGATGGTAATGAATGGAAATATTTCCAAGTTAGTCCTGAAGATTTCTCAAGGATTGATGCTTGTTTACCACATAGTAGATTGACTTTTGTCTGAACCCACACTACTTTGGCATTTTTGAGACACAAGCATATTAGAGGCCATGTGACTTCTTGAATAAAAATAGTAAATGAACCCAGTAGGTATATTTTGGTATAGTCTTTTCAGAGTGTGTACCCTGGAACAAAGGTTTGTAGTTAAAGAAGGCATTGACAGCATATAGTTTGTGAATTACTCTCAGTTTTTCAGTTCAGACAGGGAAACTGAGGTGGGTACTCATTTCTCCCAAGGAAGACCCTTTCTGCTGGCCTTAGAGATCTTTGCCGTGTCTTTTTCAGATTGATGCATCATGCCTTACATGGGAAGGACAGCAGTTCCAAGGGAAAGCTGCCATTGTGGAGAAGTTGTCTGTAAGTAAGGGCCAGAGCTGCAAGGCAGGAGACTTTCTCCCCCCAGCCTTTCTGGCCTCATGGAGTCCACTGACCTCTCTTTCTCTTGTAGAGCCTTCCCTTCCAAAAAATCCAGCACAGCATCACGGCACAGGATCATCAGCCCACGCCAGATAGCTGCATCATTAGCATGGTTGTGGGCCAGCTCAAGGTAATAGTGCTACTGCATTCCTAGGAAGGGGTGGGCAAATGGAGGAGAGCCCTGGGCCTCAGACTTTGCTGCATGTATGACCCAATTATCCAGGAGCACAGAGGAACTGTCAAGCTGTATTGTTCATTATAATACCTGTTGGCCACATGGAGCAATTATTACACTGCATTAATTAAAATTAAACAAAACCAAAATGTAGTTTCTCAGTTGTGTTACAGCATTTTAAGTGTTTGTAATAAGCCACATGGAACAACCTATTATTCAGTGTTAGTAGAGACCGTTTCTGTGATTACAGAACGTTCTGGAGAACAGTAGCTCTAGAGCCTTTTTGGAAAAGGGACAAGAGGTATAAACAAGTTGTGGTACCAAGACTCTGAGTGCTCACACAGTCTGATACACAGGTGGCCCAGCTCAGTGCTCCTGGAGCTCATGCTGCTGTTCCCTAGATTGGCTCCTGACCTACCAACCAGATTTCTGGAATTCCTGCTTCTTTTTGCATTTTCTCCCTTCCCTTTCTCATGACATGTCATCTTCAGAATCTTTCTGTAGATCCTCATACCCTCCCTTCCAAAACCCACTGTTCAGTGCCTGTTTCCAAGAAGCTGCTTTGTCTCAGTGGCCCAGTCTCAGCTTTTTGTGAGTGTATCCTAGAGAGACTCACTGGGCAAGCTGGGGCAGGGCCTCCTGAATCAATGTGGTTGTGGAGGGAGGAGGATTTAGGCCTCTGCAGTGGATCCAGAAAGATCTTCCCTTGGGCCTGGACTTGCCTGTCCATTTCTCTTGGTTGTCCAAGATCCCTTTCCCACCTAGGCCACAGGATTCAGACAGTCTCCTGGGAACTCAGTACCAACTTAGATTGGTAAAGCTGATGTGAGAAGTGCTGTCCCTTCTCACCAGGCTTCAGTTTCTTCCTGGTGTTGCTGTCGAGCTTGGATCCCCCAGGTGACTAGTTTCTTCCTTACTGATGTTAATTCTAGATGGGTGACTTAAGAGAGTAGAGGTTAGCTCACAACCTGCTTCAGACTGTACCTCATAATGATTTTCTACGGCTTGGCTAGTTTTTCACCATTCTGTTTCCACTGCAGATGTTGTATGATGACAGGAAACAGATCACCTGATGGTGAGATTGTAGCTTTCTTTTTTCCTATAGAGCTATGATTACATTATAGATGCTGTGTTTTGAGCCTGTTAACAGCATTTTGATATTCCTAAATTCTGTACTAAGTATTATGGGATTCTTTCAAAACTTGGGTCACTTGTGCCTGGAAACATGGGCTTGAAGCAGCTGTGTCATCACCTGTTAGCGTGGTGATTTATTTTGTGCTTGAAGCATACATGGCAATATGAGCTGCTGTTTCATGGTTACTGTATCCTGGTGTGGTGTTTATGTATTACAGTAGTTCACAGTCACCAGTGCCCTTCCCCTGTACTAGGATTTGAGAACAGTATTCCATAGGGCCTGATCCCAAGGTTGGTATTCTTTGTCTCATTCCCCTACTACAAGCTCCCTTTCTGTTCCTCTGACACCTCACTGAATCATTTTCTCTTCTCAACAGGCTGATGAAGATCCTATCATGGGATTCCACCAGATGTTCCTACTAAAGAACATCAATGATGCTTGGGTTTGCACCAATGACATGTTCAGGCTTGCCCTGCACAACTTCGGCTGACCTCCTCCCAGCAAGGCACTCATCGCTGTTTCCTCCTCTCTCCTCTTCCTGATACTATTCACACTCCTCCAGATGCTCCAAATATCATACACAAACGAGCAGGGCCGTGGTGGGAGTGGGCACAGTGCGCTGCTGCCACCGGCGTGTTGTGCATGATGTTTGGACTCTAGACTAGTCGCATCTGACAGGAGAAGTTTGTGTTTACCAGCGCATGCCTTGGAAAGACTTAAATAATGCAAAAGGTTGTCTTTTTTTTTTTTTTTTTTTTTTTTTTTATCTACTGACAAGTTGCTCTAGTAACCCAAAGAAGTGAAGGAGAAAGCAGCTGCCTCACCGCCCAGATTTTGATTTGTTCAGATGTTTCAATGCCTCATGATACAATAAAACCACAAAATTTTCTTAACAGTTCAAATTGTTTTAATTAGTTGACTAAGGACTGGGCATCATATACTCCCCTGCCCATGCTCACTTCTCTCCCACCTCGCTGGACTCAGCAAAAACCAGTTGTAGGAGAATTCTACTAACCACGCACTCCTCCATCGTCAAACCTTCTTTCAACAAAGACCCCTCCCTGTTTTCAAAATCACATCTCCATTTCATCTAGTCCTATGCAGATGGAGACTCAGTTCGGCCTGACCCTGTGGCCCCTCCCACTGCAGCTTCTGCCGACATAGTTGATCCCTCATGCTTGATATATTGATACCTCTTGCTTGCCCCCCCCCCCCCCCCCCCCCCCCCCCCCCCGCCCCCGCGCGCCCGGCCCCTTATCCGGTTACACGCTCACCTCCGCAGCCTTGGCAAACAGCCATCCTCTGTCTTAATTCCGCCCACTAATCCTCCACAAGATGTCCCCAAAGCCACGGTCACCCCCTATCCCTACTGTCTCACTTTTATCCCCCCAAGGACCCATGAACATTTCCGAATACAAATCCCCCCATCCTCCCACACCCTTAGCACTCAGATCAATGTCCATCTGTCAAGACAGCCACCTTCCTCAACCGACCAACCCGCCCCCCCCTCGGTGGACGCCGAACATGGATTCGCTCGCCAATTCTATATTCGCTTTTACTTCTATATGGGCTGTCTACATGCCACTTCACATCCCTCAAACCCCCTGCAGGAAAAAGTCTTCTCTTCCTTGTTAACTTCTCTCTTAACAAGTCACCCCCAGTCACACGTGTCCGAACCCACCTCCAGTCTTAACTATTAGGGTAGTTCTGCTCCTTAGTTTTGGGGACAGAGGCCTTGCCCAGCGCACATTTAGCCCTGAGACCTCTGTAAGGTATAAACCTAAGGGCAAGATAGCAATTGCAGGCCAGTAAACCAAAACCAGAATTTGGATTAATGTCCTGATAGGGTCTTGGGGTCAGTGAGGGCACCACAGCCAAGCTTGGCCTGCAAGTGGATACCCTTTCTTCATCCGCACTCTGGGTGGAAACTGAGGACTCTGACCCCACAGCTTGCCTGGCTACCCTGGGCAAACTGCACTGCCTAGGCCATCTTTAGGAGATGTCAGTGGGGCTTGATCTCTTACGTTGCTGTGTATGTGGGGGTGAGGGAGAGGTAGATGCCTGCTACCTCTGAAGCCACCCTGTATAAAATCTGCAATACAGCTTCCTCCATGTACCTGTGCCTGAATTGTCTGCAATAAAAAGGTGTTTGTAAACCATGGTTTCTTTCTTGCTACATGAGTGCCAGGTGGGACCAGGGACGGCTGGTGGACAGAGGGAGTAATTGAGACCATTGAAGTGAGACCTTCTATCCTGTCAATAATTCCCGGGCTTTATAGTCTTGCAGGTTCCCCCAGACCTTAGGCTACCTGGAACCATTTCCTAAACCCAAATGTCAATAAAGTGAATACCTTTGGGGCTGAGCAGCTGCATTCTAAACGGTAGACTTGACTGTCATAGAAACGAGTGACCATGGACCTGATGGTTTAGGGTGGCCCAATACGTGGGCATTCGCCCTGTAAAAAACTTCCCTGATCCCGTTGGCACCGAGAGAGCTGGGAAGGCGGCGTTCCCAGACGGATTGCGGAATGGCGACGGTTTCCTCCCCAGCCCGGAACCTTTCTTCTCTAGTCCTCTCAGGTTCCGGGAGCGTAGGTTCACAGCGACCGGAAGTGGAGGCGGTTGGTGGGGTTGGCGGAGCTCCGGACGCAGCGCGGGCGGCGGTTTGCTAGCTGCGGGTGGACGGAGAAGTGACCTGTGTTCGGGTGTCTCGCCCGTTCGCGGCGGGGCGAGGCCGGGCAGTGCGCGGCGGTAGTAGAACGAACGTCGTGCGGGCGGGGCGCCCGCGGCTGGGCCCATGGCCTCCTGCGCGAGCATCGACATCGAGGACGCCACGCAGCACCTGAGGGACATCCTCAAGCTGGACCGGCCCGCTGCGGGTGAGCGGGGTGAGCAGGTGTGGGCCCACGGCCAGCAGGCGAAAGGGCTACGTGGGTTTGAACCGCCCTTCCAGGCCGCAAACTTCTACAGGCCAAGTCTGTATCCTCGGGGCTGGTGAGGGTGAGTGGGAGTCGGAGTCTCGATCTTTCAACTTAGCGCGCGAAGGGCTCTGAGTGGGGGACTCCTCTCCATCCCCGCGCCAGGCCTTCCTGACTCGTCCTGCTGCGTTTTGACTGAGAATGAAGTACCCTTCTCCTGAGCCACCGAGTCCCTCTGGTTTTCCGGCCTCAAGGTCTCGGCTATTTCTGAAACTGCTTTGGTCGGGAACTCTCGCATGGCTCGGGATCTCTGTACCGAGTTCTGGGCCTCAATTCCAACTATGCTCTGAAAGAGATGCTGGTTCCCCTCGGCAGCGTGCCTTTCTCTCTGGGAATGCTAATTAAAAAACTGAGTTCCAAGAAGAAAGGTGACCAGCTCCCCCCAGTTGGCCTTCTTCCTGGGATGAAGACAGCTGCCCCGATTGGAATAGGCTAAAGCATCTGCAAGCTCTTGATTTGTTCTCATGCGTTCCAGTTTAACTTGGGCTCTTAGTAATCCTTTGGCTCTACAAATGAGTGCCAGGACACAGAGAGGGGAAGGGTTGTGATCTCCTGTTGTCATGGAAAGAGCAGTGTTTTGGGATATTGGTGTGACTAGGGTTTGAATGGGCGTTAGAGGGTTCAGAGAGCAGATCTGACCGTGGAGGCTGTGTAGGCTGGAAGTCTTAACACATCCAAGCCAGTAGAGGCTACCCATTAGGAAAAGGGAATCAGCAGGAAGGGACCAGAGTTTTCTGGCAGGCTCTGGGATCTGTGCTGGCTGGAGGGACTGAATGCTGTTGGTGGTATGGGTGTGCAGTGGCCACAGCTAAGAACCTGTGTTTCCTCAGATCTTGTTCTGACAGCAGACAGATTTACTCAGGCAGTAGTATAAGGGTAAGCCAAATACACTCAGAGGGTGCAGTAGCACCTGCTTCCAGAAGCAGTCAGGCTGAGCTTTCCAGCAGGTGAAAGAACAAAGGTTCAGCCTGACTGCTTCTGGAAGCAGGTGCTGCTGCACCCTCTGAGTGCATTTGGCTTACCCTTATACTACTGCCTGAGTAAATCTGTCTGCTGTCAGAGAACACTGAGCCTTTCACCCCAAGCCTGGAGTGCGGGCTCCCTCTTCTGCAAGTGTGTCTTGGAGCTTTCACACTTGTCCTGAGGCTTTCGAGCTTATCAGGTGCTGAGCAGACCAGGCTCTGCTGAGATTCAGTACAGCCTGGCACAGCCAACCCCCAACAGCCTGGGACTGCTGCTGCTTTATCCTTGTGGTAGTAGGCCGGGAAGGAGAGTATCATCTTGTTCCTGAGCCGCTAAGGTGGTTCTTGATTTATGCTCTGTCTCACTGTTGGAGCGCCTGCTTATCTCCTCTGGCTGTAGGACCAAGTCACACATCAGACTGTTGGGTGACTGGAAATTCACAGAGATCCTGAGTGTGGAACCGTGGTTTTCTTGCTACTTGGGAAAGATGATGGCAGTCATGACTGAGCCTGTGAGAGTGTTTCAAGACCAAGCCGGTGCCCACAACTGGAATGTTGTCTTTTCTGACTCCATGCCTACTTCTGAGTTTCTCTCTCTCTTTAAATTTTTTTTTTATTATTCAAAAGATAGATTTATAGAGGGAGAGAATCTTCCATCTGCTGGTTCATGCCCCAGATGACCACAATGGCCAGAGCTGGGCCAATTCAGAGCCAGAAGCTTCTTCTGAGACTTCCACACGAATGCAGGGACCCAAGGACCTGAGCCACCCTCTACAGCTTTCTTAGGCCATAAGCAGGGAATCAGATGGGAAATGGAGCAGCTAGGACATGAACAGGCACCCATATGGGATGCTGGTGCTAATAGATGGAGGATTAGTTTGTTGAACTACAGCACCAGGCTGTTTCTCTCCTCTTTATCCAGCTCCTTTGTATCTGTTCCATCTGTGGTCGATTGTTCTGAATTATTTCTGTGTGGGGCAGGCTCACTCTTTCTGAAGGATTTATTTTTATTGGAAAGGCCAGATTTACAGAGAGAAGGAAAGACAGGGAGGAAGATCTTCCATCCATTGATTCACTTCCCAAGTGGCTGCAACAGCTCGAGCTAAAGCCGATTTGAAGCCAGGAGCTTCTTCGAAGTCTCCCAAGTGGTTGCAGGGGCCCAAGGCCTTTGGCCACCTTCTGCTGCCTTCCTGGGCCACAAGCAAGGAGCAGGAAGTAGAGCAGCTGGGACACAAACCGGCACCCTTACGGGGTACTGGCGTTGCAGGCAGAGGACCAGCCAGTTGTGGCTATTGCACTGGGTTCCCTCCTTCCTTTCTTATCTCCTCATCTGAACATATTCCTTCTGGGCCTTGAGTGCTCATCTCCTCTCTAAGCCTTGCTGTTACCTTGGTTCAAGCTCAGTTATCAGTCATTGGATTCTCAAACATTGAATTTGCTGCCTTAGAGCAGTCAGCCCACTGGAGAGAGCTAGCCATGACATCTTTCCCTTTAAACCTCTTTTGGGATTTTCATTGCTCATGGGAAGGAACTCAAAAGCCCAACATCATTAACTGAGGTCCCTGCAGTTTGTTTCCCCTCTGCCCTCCCCACGTTGGCATTCTGGTCACATTGGCACTGATGGTGTCTTCCTCATGAAGCTTTTCCAGACCCTTTCCATGCCATTCCTCGAGTACCTAGAGTTTGGTGTATTGACCTCTGCGTGTCCTTGATGGTTTGTACTCTTCCAGTAGAGAAGTCTCTTGCTCAGCCTTGCTCCTGGCATACATCGGTGCCTGTGAAACAGGAGATGAGGAAAGGCCCTCTTTCCCATAAGAACGCCTTGCGTAGCTGAATGCTTCCAAGCACTTCCTGGTGTTGGGAAGAAACTCTGATGAGCTAATAGGCAAACGAAACAGCCTTATCAGCATGGTCCTCTCTGTCCGTAGGCCCCAGTCCAGAGAACCAGCGACCATCCAGCACCTACAATGGGGATCTCAATGGGCTTCTGGTCCCAGATCCTCTCTGCTCAGGTGATGGTACTGCAGCAAGCAAGTCTGGTCTCCGGACCTTGCCGCCCATTAACCTGCAGGAGAAACAGGTCATGTGAGTGCCTGGGAGGTGGCAGTGGTAATGAGGGTGTCTTTGGGGCATCTGCTAACTTGAAGGCATGAGATGGGGAGGCCGGAAGGACCAGCAGCTTTGGCTGCTTGTTTGCCTGCATGACCTAAACCACCCTGAACTTGTACTAGGGTTAGGACTGAGGACAAGCTCAGAGGTTTGACCTGGACACCTGCGTTAGGGTAAAAGGAAGCTTCTTCTCAATGAAGGAGGCAAGCTAGGGGGGCTGGCAGCTGAGACTAGACCTACCTGCCTTGGGGTGGTTGTGTCTTTTCCTCCTCTCAACTCTACCCCTTGAACCTTTGGGTGAACAAGAGACAAGATTTGTGCTTCCCCTCCCCCCAGCTGCCTGTCAGGGGATGACAGCTCTACCTGCATTGGGATTTTGGCCAAAGAGGTGGAGATTGTGGCCAGCAGCGACTCAAGCATTTCGAGCAAGGCACGGGGAAGCAACAAGGTAGGTGTCAGGGTTTTGTGACATACATCCAGCCTATCCATTGGGCCTGTGGTGCCAGTTCTTATGAGGAGCACCTTGGAAAATAGATCGTGTGCTCCAGTTTCAGGAAGCCAGAGTTGGCTACCTAGATGCTATGGGAATCTCTTCTTAGAATCTGGGTTGCATGGCTTGTGCTTGTAACCTCTCCCATCCCCAGAGTTGCTGGAAACACCTTCAGTTCTAAGGGAAGCTTCCCTGGTCCTCAACTTCTGTGTCCTCCCTCATTTTGGGTTCCCAGGTGAAAATACAGCCTGTCGCCAAATATGACTGGGAGCAGAAGTACTACTACGGCAACCTGATCGCTGTATCGAACTCCTTTTTGGCCTATGCCATTCGGGGTGAGTAGGGGGTAGGGCAGAGCAGAAAGGATTTTGCTTGAAGCCCAGAGATCTAGAGCCAGTGTCAGCCTACTCAGACCTCAGGGATCACATTAGAAGACTTGTCTGGACCACCCAGGCCTTAGGAGTGGGGTCGTGCCATGGTATTGACAGCAAAGTAGGTGAGGGTAAGGCTGTGTGTGCTGCCCAAGCCTGGGTCCACTGTCAAGCCCCACTGCTGTCCTGATTGCAGCTGCCAACAATGGTTCAGCGATGGTGAGAGTGATCAGCGTCAGCACTTCAGAGCGAACTCTGCTGAAAGGCTTCACAGGCAGCGTGGCTGACCTGGCCTTCGCACACCTCAACTCTCCACAGCTGGCATGCCTAGATGAGGCAGGCAACCTGTTTGTTTGGCGTTTAGCTTTGGTCAATGGCAAGATCCAGTATCCATTTCTGGGCATGGGGCATGGGGGCAGGGCTTTTTGGATACATTCCATCATCTTACCTATCAAGCCCTTAACACCCTGCTCAGAGAAGAGATCTTGATCCATATCCGGCAGCCAGAGGGCACGCCACTGAACCATTTCCGCAGGATCATCTGGTGCCCCTTCATCCCTGAGGAGAGTGAGGACTGCTGCGAGGAGAGCAGCCCAACCGTGGCCCTGCTGCATGAAGACCGGGTGCGGGAACTGGACCCCACGGCAGGGAGGTGACTGAGCAGCTATCTTGCAGGTGTGGGCTGAGCTCTCCCCTCCCTGTTTGCTCCAGGCTGAGGTGTGGGACCTGGACATGCTCCGCTCCAGCTACAGCACCTGGCCTGTGGATGTTGGCCACATCAAGCAGGGCTACATTGTGGTGAAAGGCCACAGCACGGTATGTCTGCAGCTAACCTTCCTCCCTGCCCTTGTCTCTTCCCCGCATCCACAGCTGCCTAGGCAGTTTGACCAGCCCTCCGCCCTTGGGGCTGTTGAGCCCAGAGGAGCCCTCACCTGTGGTACTTCCTCCTAACCCTGCTATTTCCTGTGGATCTGGTCCTGTCTAAAGCTCCCCCATTTCAGTCAGCCACAGAGATGTGCAAATCCTCTGTGGGAGGGCTCATTCCTACCTCTGGTGAGATGGCAAAGCCAAACTCAATGGGTTCTTCCCAGTGCCTCAGCGAAGGTGCCCTCTCCCCTGATGGGACTGTCCTGGCTACTGCGAGCCATGATGGCTATGTCAAGTTCTGGCAGATCTACATTGAAGGGCAGGATGAGCCAAGGTAAGAAAGGGCTGAAGGGTCCAGAACCCCTTGAGACAGGAGAGCCAGTTGCTCACCCAAGCCCCTCCTTTGCCTGCACACAGGTGTCTGCATGAGTGGAAGCCACATGATGGGCGGCCTCTCTCCTGCCTGCTGTTCTGTGACAACCATAAGAAGCAGGATCCTGAGTGAGTGAGTGGGCAGGCGAGTGGCTGATGGGCTGGCCAGGGCTCCCAGCAGAGCACCCAGCCAGTCACTTGCTACTTTGCAGGGTCCCTTTTTGGAGGTTCCTCATTACTGGAGCTGACCAGAATCGGGAACTGAAGATGTGGTGCACAGTGTCCTGGACCTGCCTGCAGACTATCCGGTGAGCAGACTGCTTGCTGGGTGTGGATCCAAGGGTTGGGGATGTGGCCTCTCAGAACGCATGGCATCATTTCCTCTGCTTTGTGGCTCCCTAGCTTCTCCCCAGATATCTTCAGCTCAGTGAGTGTTCCCCCAAGCCTCAAGGTTTGTTTGGACCTTTCAGCAGAATACCTGATTCTCAGCGATGTGCAACGGAAGGTATACTACCGAGGGCAGAGCCAGTATCAGCACTAGGGGCACGGGGCATGGCACATAGGCTGCCCTCACAGCCTCTGAGCTCACCTGGGAATGTGTCACCTGTGCAGGTCCTCTACGTGATGGAGCTGCTACAGAACCAGGAGGAGGGCCGCGCCTGCTTCAGCTCCATCTCCGAGTTCCTCCTCACCCATCCCGTGCTGAGCTTTGGGATCCAGGTTGTGAGCCGCTGCCGGTTGCGACACACTGAGGTGCTGCCTGCCGAGGAGGAGAATGACAGTCTGGGGGCTGGTGAGCTGCCATGGGCTGGGGACTGTATGTTGACTTGTGAGGTGACAAGGCACAGAGAAGGCCAGGGGTTGAATCATCCATGCTGTCCTTTCAGATGGTGCCCACGGAGCTGGTGCCATGGAGTCTGCAGCCGGTGTACTCATCAAGCTCTTCTGTGTGCATACTAAGTAAGTGTGTTGGGAGACCCACCAGCTGTTTGTCTGTGTCCCTCTCTGCCCCTACTTGCTCTGTCTTGTTTGAGCAGTCAAGCTTGCTCTCTTTCTGCAGGGCTCTACAAGATGTGCAGATCCGCTTCCAGCCACAGCTGAACCCTGATGTGATAGCCCCGCTCCCCACACACACTCCCCATGAGGAGTTTGGTAAGTGAAGGGCAAGAGGGAAGCCAGTTGAACTTCCTGGGGCTAGAGATTGGACTCTCATGTCAGCTTTCCCCACAGCATTTGGAGAATCTAGATCTGAATTAGGCTCTGAGGGCCTGGGGTCAGCCTCTCATGGCTCCCAGCCTGACCTCCGACGCATTGTGGAGCTGCCTGCACCTGCTGACTTCCTCAGTCTGAGCAGTGAGACCAAGCCCAAGCTGATGACACCTGACGCCTTCATGACACCCACTGCCTCCCTGCAGCAGGTACTTCCCCAGGGTTGGGGGACATGGGAATGCCACACCCACAGGCTACAGCCCTTATTCTCTGCATCTCCCTAGATTGCTGCATCCCCTGGCAGTAGCAATAGCAGCAGCAGCAGCAGCACTAGCAGCAGTAGCAGCAGCAGCAGCTCTCTCACAGCCGTGTCTGCCATGAGTGGCACCTCAGCTATGGACCCCTCCTTGGCCAGGTAAGGTGAAGGGTCAGAGGTGGAGTATGGGAGGAGCTGATTTTACAGCAAGCTGTGGCAGCTAATACCTCAGCCTCCTTGCCACCAGGCCACCTGAGGAGCTGACCTTGAGCCCCAAGCTGCAGCTGGATGGCAGCCTGACAGTGAGTGGCAGCAACAGTCTGCAGGCAAGCCCACGCAGCCTCCTGCCTGGCCTTCTCCAAGGCCCAGCTGACAAACTGACTCCCAAAGGACCTGGGCAGGTGTGTTTGTGTGAATGCAGGGTAGCAGGTGGATGGCAGCATGGAAAGGTAGCAGCAGTTGGCTTTGCTGCATCCTTTCTGCTTTGTCTGCTGGCCCTACTCTGCCTCCAGTACTGCCCACTTCCTCTGAGGTCATACCAGCCTCCCCACACCCTGCCCTCCTGGACTGTGGCCCTCTGTTTAACCTGTACCCCTTCCCTGCTGTCTCCTGTCAATACCAGCACTGGTGTTTTAGCTCTGTGCTTCACCACAGCACCTCCCATCACTTAATACCCTGTCTTTGGCCCATCTCAGGTACCTACTGCTGCCTCTGCACTGTCCCTGGAGCTGCAGGAAGTAGAACCTCTGGGACTTCCCCAGGCTTCTCCCAGCCGCACCCGCTCCCCTGATGTTATCTCCTCGGCTTCCACTGCCTTGTCCCAGGACATTCCTGAGATTGCGTCCGAGGCCCTGTCCCGTGGCTTTGGCTCCTCTGCCCCTGAAGCCCTTGAGCCAGACAGTATGGCCTCAGCTGCCTCAGCACTACACCTGCTCTCTCCACGGCCCCGTCCAGGGCCCGAGCTTGGCCCCCAGCTTGGCCTCGATGGAGGCCCAGGGGATGGGGATCGGCACAGTACTCCTTCCCTGCTGGAGGCAGCCTTGAGCCAGGAAGTTGTGACTGCTGACAGTCAGGTTTGGCCTACAGCACCTGATATTACTCGTGAGACCTGTAGCACCCTGGCAGAGAGGTGAGGAGTGCAGAAGGGGGAAGGTGGTGGGAGGGGCTTCAGGTAGTTACTCACTGCTAAGCTGGCCCTTTCCCCAGCCCCAGGAATGGCCTCCAGGAAAAGCACAAGAGCCTGGCCTTCCACCGACCACCTTACCACCTGCTACAGCAACATGATAGCCAGGACACCAGTGCTGAGCAAAGGTGGGCACCCCTCAACACCATTCCCCTTGCAAGGGAGGGCCAGCAAGTGAGCAGACATTCAACACCTCTCTCTGCTTCCTCCAGTGATCACGATGATGAGGTGGCCAGCCTGGCTTCTGCCTCAGGAGGCTTTGGGACCAAAGTTCCCCCTCCACGGCTCCCCGTCAAGGACTGGAAAACCAAGGGGTCCCCTCGGACCTCACCTAAGCTCAAGCGGAAAAACAAGAAGGATGATGGGTATGCAGGGAGCCAGGGGCCAGAGAGTGGGGTGGTCTTCTGGCTCCCTGACGTGGCCTGAGATACTTCTCACCCATGGCAGGAATTTAGCTGTGGGGCCGCGGCTTACGGAACACCAGGTGAGAGTGAACACCCATTCTACTTGTGGGATCCCGTCCCGTAAGGGTAGGGAAGGGCTCTGCAACATTCCCTGGTAGGAATGGGGGAGGCAGGCATCGCATAACTGTCAGTACTGCTGGCAGGTGGTAGAGCCCCCTGAGGACTGGCCAGCACTGATTTGGCAACAGCAGAGAGAGCTGGCAGAGCTGCGGCACAGCCAGGAAGAGCTGCTGCAGCGCCTGTGTGCCCAGCTCGAAGGCCTACAGAACACGGTCACGGGTCTTGTGGAACGAGCTCTGGAGACTCGACATGAGCAAGAACGTATCCTTGAGGGCGGTAGCACGGTGCAGTGAAGGCAGACAGAGGGAGAGGTAGCCCCCCAGGTCCAGGGAGGAGTATGGCACCTGGTACCTACTCCAGGTGTGTGTTTTTTTGTTTCTTTCTATTTATTTATTTTTTTTACAGATTTATTTTTATTATTTTTTATTGGAAAGGCGGATATACAGAGAGGAGAGACAGAGAGGAAGATCTTCCGTCTGATGATTCACTCCCCAAGTGAGCGCAACGGGCCCATACTATGCCGATCCGAAGCCAGGAGCCTCTTCCGGGTCTCCCACGCGGGTGCAGGTTCCCAAAGCTTTGGGCTGTCCTCGACTGCTTTCCCAGGCCACAGGCAGGGAGCTGGAAGGGAAGCGGGGCTGCCGGGATTAGAACCGCCGTCCATATGGGATCCCGGGCGTGCAAGGCGAGGCCCTTAACCACTTGCGCCACCGCGCCGGGCCCTATTTATTTATTTTTTAAGATTTTATTTCAATTAGGAAGGTAGATTTTACAGAAATAAGAGGAGACACAGAAAAGATCTTCTACCTGGTTCACTCCCTAAGTGGCCACAATGGCAGGAGCTGAACAATCCAAAGCCAGGAGACAGAAGCTTCTTTTGTGTCTCCTACATGAGTGCAAAGTTCCAGGGCTTTACACCATCTTCCACTGCTTTCCCAGACCACAAGCAGGGAGCTGGATAGGAGGTGAAGCAGCTGGGATAAGAACCAGCACCCATATGGAATTGTGGTTGAAAGTGGAAGACAAGCCAATTGAGCCATTGTACCAGGTCCCAGACTTTTTCCTTAGCTGCAGTGAAGAGCGGTGGCTAGAGCGGGCCCTGGCAGAGGGGCAACAGCGTGGTGGGCAGCTGCAGGAGCAGCTGACCCAGCAGCTGTCCCAGGCACTGTCTACAGCTATTGCTGGGCGGTTGGAGCGTGGCCTTCGGGATGAAATCAAGAAGACGGTTCCTCCATGTGAGTTCTGTATGAAGATGTCATTTTGGTAGGCCAGGTGGGAGTAGGTGCACTTATATCTTTCCTTTCCTGGCTCTAATCTCGCATCCCTCCTCAGGTGTCTCCAGGACTCTGGAGCCTGTGGCAGGCCAACTGAACAATTCAGTGGCTACCAAACTCACAGCTGTAGAGGGCAGCATGAAAGAGAATGTCTCTAAGCTGTTCAAGTCCAAGGTGATACAGAATCTAAGATGGCAGAGGGGTAGGGTTTAGGCAAGGATGAGCTCAGGGTTTTAACTCAGCCCCTCTGTCTTCACTAGAACTTGACAGATGCCATTGCCCGAGCAGCTGCAGACACATTACAGGGCCCAATGCAAGCTGCTTACCGTGAAGCCTTCCAGAGTGTGGTGCTGCCCGCCTTTGAGAAGAGCTGCCAGGCCATGTTCCAGCAGATCAATGATAGCTTCCGGCTGGGCACACAGGAATGTAAGTGGGTCTGGTGACCCAGCATGGTGGGGGCTGTCCTCTTTCCTATCTGTCCTCTTAAGATCCTGTAATCACTTCTCAGACTTGCAGCAGCTGGAAAACCATATGAAGAGCCGGAAAGCGCGGGAACAGGAGGCTAGGGAGCCAGTGCTGGCCCAGCTGCGGGGCCTGGTGGGCACACTGCAAAGCACCACTGAGCAGATGGCAGGCACCGTATCTACCACTGTTCGGGCTGACCTGCAGCATGAACTGCATGTGGCTGTGGGCAGGTATGTGAGAGAGGGATAAAGAATGGAGAGTTTGGGAAGGACCAGACTGGGCTCCCTCTCACCTTGCCTGCCTTACTTTCCTTTTCAGCCTGCAAGAGTCAATTTTACCACAATTACAGCGCATCGTCAAGGGTGAGGTGAGCGTAGCGCTCAAGGAGCAGCAGGCCGCTGTCACCTCCAGCATCATGCAGGCCATGCGCTCAGCTGCTGGTACACCTGTCCCCTCTGCGCACCTCGACTGCCAGGCCCAGCAAGCCCATATCCTGCAGCTGCTGCAGCAGGGCCACCTCAATCAGGCCTTCCAGCAGGTATGATGGGTTAGGGTCAGTTGTCTCCTAAGCAGATCCACACATTGTACAACTCGTACCTGGCACCAGGCTCTGGGCCACTGTCTCAGTGGACTGCTGTTGGTTCTTTCTAGCCACCATGCCATCTTTCTTGTCTGTATGCCTTTCTTTATACCTCAGCCAACTTTGCTTTACAACAGCCCTTCTCAAGAGACTTTTCCTGATGCTGGCTAACAGTACAGCTCTCTAGCACTCACTAAGTGTCCCTGAGCACCCCATCTGCATCTCTCAGCACATCAGTCTGCGGTAATCCTCCCCCAGACCATGAAGCACAAATAGGTGGAGCGTCTTGATGGTACCTGGAAACACTGTTGTCTCCTGCAGGCGCTGACAGCTGCTGACCTGAACCTGGTGCTGTATGTGTGTGAAACTGTGGACCCAGCCCAGGTTTTTGGGCAGCCGCCTTGCCCACTCTCCCAGCCTGTACTCCTTTCACTCATTCAGCAGCTGGCATCAGACCTTGGCACTCGAACTGACCTTAAGCTCAGGTAAGAGGCCAGGAGGCACGTTGGGGGTAGAGGGCAGGGAGGGGAAAGTTTGAAGCAAGCTCCCTTCTCTAGTTTTGTGCCCCATTGGGTCTGAGGCTTGTTTTCCTTGTCACTAATCCCTCTGTGCTTCAGTGCCACAAGAGGGCGCTCTTACCTGTAGTCCTTTTCCCCTCCTCATCCTCAGCTACCTGGAAGAAGCTGTAATGCACCTGGACCACAGTGACCCCATCACTCGAGACCACATGGGCTCCGTTATGACCCAGGTGCGCCAGAAGCTATTCCAGTTCCTGCAGGCTGAGCCACACAATTCACTTGGCAAAGTGGCTCGGCGTCTCAGCCTCATGTTGCATGGACTGGTGACCCCCAGTCTTCCTTAGCAGCAAAGCCTGCCTTGTCCAGGAGCGGTTGGCACTGAAGACTGATGCACAGGGCTCTGCCAGGACAGGTCATGGCTGCCCTTTACCTGTTCAGGCCCCTAACTCTGCAGTGTTCAAGAGCAGAGGGGCCAGGGATGACTGGCCATGGACTACGGATTGTGGTAGCCAGCAGGTTTAGGCTGGGCCCAGGGCAGGTATTGTGCCTTCTTGGGTTCTGCCATGCCTGGAGCATGACGCTGAGATTGTGACACCATTTGAGTTGAATTTTCCATGTTCTTTTTACCTCTGATTTGGATCTTTTTGTTTTTGAAAAACATTGAGAAATTCAATTAAATGCTTTTGGAATAAAATGGAATATGTGTGTGTATGTGTGTGTGTTTGATATGATGCTGATACTGCCCTCCTTTTGCCTGGAGAGCTCTGTTTGACCAGCCCATGCCAGGAGCCTGGGCACCCACTCTGATTTGTTTGTTGGCCTTACCAGATCTCTCTCTACCTTTGAGGTGAGGGTCCCAGAGCAGCTTATGCTGCTTTTCCCTAGGGTCATTCCTTGTTTGCCTGTTTGGGTAGAGGAGGCGGAGCTGCCAGCTGGCTCCAAGGCCCGCCCCTGCTTCTATCCAATCACATCCCTTGCCTCCGGAGGCTAGGCAGGCAGCTGCACTTAGAGCTGCTAGCTCTAGCACTAGGCTCTCGGCCAGAGACGATGAGCTGCTGCCGCTGCCACTACTGCTGCTGCTGCCGCCACCACCACTGCCGGCAGCCACACTGTGCCCTGAAGCTGTTGCTGTTGCTGCCACTTGGTGAGTGTGGGTATCCTTGACTTGGTCTGAGCCCTAACCCCTGTTGCTGGGCCCCTGCCAGGCTGGGCAAAGGAGGTGTGTGGAGTTGGTAGTACAGCCTTCCTGGCTTGGTGCCAGGATAGAAAGGGAGGTGTGTGGGCTCCAAGAAGGTGCTGCTGATCTCAGAACCAAAAACAGGAAGTGCCAGTTGAGCCCCAGTTGTGAGGAAAGACTTTGAGATCCCCCCCCCCCAGCATGTCTTTAGATAAAAAGAGCCATAGCCTCTGGTGGGGCTCTTATATCATCCTTATGATCGCTGAGGTTTCCTGAGAGGGTCTAACATGGACCCCAGCCCTTCTCCTTTGGGCACAAGGTGGGAAGGCCAAACAGAGCCCTTTAGGCTGAAGAGAGACCTGGCCTACCAATGTGGCTGGGGCCCCTGGGCTCCACCTGCTCCACTTCTCCTGACCCCTTCACTTGGCACATTCTCACCCAGTCTGGGGGATCCCAGAAGCTCGAAGGAAGCATTGCTCCCTGAAAAAGAACATCCTCTAGCCTTCCCATGTACCCCAGTCCGAATCCTTCCTTGAAGGGGGCCAAGATGGGTGATCCCCAGACATGCCCCTCAGTTCCCTGGGGTGTCTTTTCCAAGCTGAGTCATGTCCCCAGAGTACTCCAGGTAAACAAGCTCCTAGGGGTTGGAGGGCAGTCCCAGCTCGCCTTATCAACTCTTCCACTCCACCTCCCAGTCCTTGTACCTTCCCTCGCAGCAGCCACAGAGGGCCCAAACAGCTGTGACACCATATACCAAGGCTTTGCCGAGTGTCTCATACGCCTGGGAGACGGCATGGGCCAAGGAATCGAGCTGGAAACTGTTTGCAGGTACAGGCAGGTGGGAGGAAGCGGGCAGATGGGTGGCAGCGGTAACCCAGTCCATGCCACCTGCAGGGCCTGAATATTCTCTTTCAACACCCTCTTTGTGCCACCTAATCCCCCTAATCCCATTCCATTAACAGGTCCTGGAATGACTTTCATGCCTGTGCTTCCCGGGTCCTGTCTGGGTGTCCAGAGGAGGCAGCTGCCGTGTGGGAGTCACTACAACGGGAAGCTCGCCGGGCCCCACACCCGGATAACCTGCACACTCTGTGTAGTGCCCCAGTGCGTGTTTGGGAGCAAGGGGCAGGCTCGGAGACCAATCAGGAGACACTGCGGGCAACAGCACCTACCTCTGTCCCAGCCCCAGCACCTGCACTGCTGGCTGCTGCTCTGGCATTTGCCTGCCTCTTGGGGCCTCTGGCCTAGCTGGTCACGTCAGGTAACAGTGCCTGTGCCTCCAGCCCTGCAGCAGCGGCCAGTGTCCTGGCTCTCTGGAGTGCTCATGGTTTTCATTAAAGGTATTTATATTTGCAACTAAGCTCCTTGCTTTCTCCCAGCTGTGGCCTGCTTGGCTGGGGTGGGGCCCCAGAGGCTGATTGCCAGCATAGGCTGGGAGGACTAGGGACTGCCACAAGGGACTCAATCTTCCTCCTTATGAACACTTATTTCCTGGCGGCAGAGCAGAGCTTTCCATTGCATGCAGATCCCCTGAGCTCCAGTGGAGACCCAAGTTCTGCCAGAATGCAAATCTCTACCCTCTCAGGCTGGCTGCACAGGATGGGACTTCTCAGCCTCGTTCCCCTAGCTCCGCCTCCTCCAGGACGCCAGGTGAGGTGGCCAAGGTGGCCAAAAGCCCTAGATCCCTGCTGGTCCACCCTGCTCCCCAGGCTTGTTCCAACCTCCAGGCTCCTGTCTATCTCACTGCCTCCTACCTGTGCTGAGCTGTCACCTCAGCCTTCAGGGCATGGCTTTGATCATGTTACATGTGTGGACCCCCAATCTGGGGCTGTGGCCATCTAAGGGGGGCCTGTTCCAGTAGGTGAAGAGCCCTTGCTGGAGTCTGCGGCCAAGCCTCTGCCATGAGGCTACAGAGCCTGGGGTAGCATTGAGGGATCTTCAGCCAGGTGTTCCCCACAGCTTGTTGTTTGAGAGGAGGTATGTGATGGGAAGGTTTTCTGGTTCCCTGTCAGACAATTACCCACTTTGTCTCACCATCCAAAGGTGGAAGTGCAGGAGAAAGTCCTTCTAGATCTACTGTTGAGTCCATCAGAATTTTCCAGAGGAAACACCAGGCCTTTTATTCTTTTAGGTCTTGGTACATCTTCTCTCTGTTCAGATACCCTTCCCCCTTAGCTCCTGGTAAATTGCTAATATTTGTTCACTGTCATCTCCTCCAGGAAGTAGTCCCTAACCCAGAGTGCAAGTTGAACTAGAAGCCACTTCTAGGTCCACACAGCTCCTGTCTCAGTTCTGATAGTGCTAGCTTAAATGGTGTAGGTCCAGTTCACAAAGGCAGGATGTCTTTGCGTCTCTAGCACCCAACTTAGGACTAGGTATAAAGAGTGTGCTTGTGGGAGTGTGGGAAATGAAAGAAATTGTTCTCGTAGTACGAGAAGCTGGACTAAGATTGATCCCATTGTACAGCACGTATCACCTTGGGTTGTCCACTCAGCCTGAGCATGTTGCGGACATGGATGGTGCTGGTGTTCCTGACACCAGAAGCCTTCAAGAGCTGGTTCTGATTCTGGTTCTGGTGGGTGACCAGGAGTAGACTGCTTCCCAGAGCAGGAGCCTAGCTGCTCTGGGCAGCTGACAGGGGGATTACCATTCTCCTTCTGTGACCTACTTCCCCTTGGTTTTTGCTCCCTAAGTCCCTACTCTTCCATGGAGTGAGGTAGTGGGGAGGGGAGGGAGAGGGGAAAGAATCTGCTCTCTGGCCAGGGGCTTAAGGGCTTTGCATGTTTTATCCCAGAGCTGGAGGACAGGCGGGGGTGGGGGGTGGGTAGCTAAGCTGACAGGACCCTGAACACAGCTGCCCAGGCAGGTCAGAGCATCATGGTGCTGGTGTTTCTCACACTTGCATCTCTGTGGATAAGCAATAGCTAGCCTGTTGTGCAGGGAAGAGCCTGGAGACTGGATAACCCAGGACAAGTCCCTCTGCATTGCCCTGCCCTCAATCCTCACCTCAGGGCCTCATGCTCTTCTCCATACCCCAGACTAAACTCAATACATATGTTTATTCGTTTGCTGAATTCTCTGTAAAATGGGATACTGTATAAAATTTTCAGCAATTTCATATTACCTTTTTAATTATATTTTTGACATCCATATTACTTTTTTTTAAAGATTTATTTTTATTATTTTTTTTATTGGAAAGGCAGATATACAGAGAGGAGAGACAGAGAGGAAGATCTTCTGTCCGATGATTCACTCCCCAAGTGAGCGCAATGGCCGATACTATGCCGATCTGAAGCCAGGAGATTCTTCTGGGTCTCCCACACGGGTGCAGTGTCCCAAAGCCTTGGGCCGTCCTTGACTGCTTTCCCGGGCCACAGGCAGGGAGCTGGAAGGGAAGCGGGGCTGCTGGGATAGAACCGGCGCCCATATGGGATCCCAGGTGTGCAAGGCGAGGAACTTAACCACTACGCCACCGCGCTGGGCCCCATATTACTTTTAACATAACAATTTGGTGAGGTGAGGATTATTGTTGCTACCCATGTAGGAGACCTGGATGGAGTTCCTGGCCTGACCTGACCTATCCCAGGCTCTTAGGGACATTTGGAAGGTAAATCAGTGGGCAGAAGATACCACTCTGAAACTCTACCTTTCAAATAAATAAAATAAATTGTGATCAAAAAAGGTGTGAGGATGGGGCTTTCGTGCAGTACAGCAAGTTAAGCCACTGCTTGGTGTGCATGTGTCTGCCTTCCAACTTGGTTAGCTTCTTGCTAATGCGTTTGAGAGGTGACATGTACTACTACAGGCTTCCTAAGTACTTGTGTTCTGGCTACCCACATGGGACACACAGATGGGGCTCCTGGCCTCAGCCTGGCATAACTTTGGCTGTTGCAGACACTGGGGGAGTGAATGAACCAACATATGGAAGTTCTCTTTCATTCTCTCTCCCTTTCTGACTTTGCCTTTCATATAACTTTTAAAAAATATATATATGAGGCCTAAAGAGTTGGAGATGACTTATGTAAGGTCATGTAATACATGTCTTTGATCCTAGCACCAGACTTATGGAAACAATTTTCAAAGGATTTATTTACTTGAAAGGCATAGTGAAGAAAGAAAAGGTTTTCCATTCACTGGTTCACTCCCCAGATGGCTGCAGTGCCTAGAGCTGAACTGTGCTGATGCACGCCAGGAGCTCCATCTGTGTCTCCAATGTGAATAAGAGGGACCCGTGTGCCTCCCAGGGTCTGCTAGTATTTAGAGCACAGCCAAGATTTGAACCCAGCAAGACTCAAACTCAGGCGCAATAAAACAGAGCAGATATCTTAACCATAACTACTAACGCCAAACACCTGCCTCTGGAAGCAGTTTTTTTTTTTTTAAAGATTTATTTTATTTTTTATTGGAAAGGCAGATATAGAGAGAGGAAGATCTTCCGTCCGATGATTCACTCCCCAAGTGAGCGAACAGCCGATGCTATGCATATGCCGATCCGAAGCCAGGAGACTCTTCCAGGTCTCCCATGCGGGTGCAGGGTCCCAAAGCCTCGGGCCGTCCTCGACTGCTTTCCCGGGCCACAGGCAGGGAGCTGGAAGGGAAGCGGGGCTGCTGGGATTAGAACCGGTGCCCATATGGGATCCTGGGCGTGCAAGGCGAGGACTTAACCACTTGCGCCACCGCGCCGGGCCCTGGAAACAGTTTTTAAAAGTGCTTTATAGGACCCAGCATGATAGCCTAGTTGCTAAATCCTTGCCTTGCAACCACCAGTATCTCATATGGGCACCAATTCAAACTACCAGCTGCTACACTTTCCATCCAGCTCCCTGCTTGTGGCTTGGAAAAACAGTAGAGAATGACCCAAAGCCTTGGGACCCTGGAGTTGTGCGTGGGAGACTCAGAAGTTCCTGCTCCTGGCTTTGGATCAGCTCAGCTGTGGACATTGTGGCCACTTAAGGCATGAACTAGTAGACAGAAGATCTTCCTGTCTCTCCTCTCTGCAGATCTGCCTTTCCAATAAAATTTAAATAAATCTTTATCAAATTAATCTTCAGACCTGGTGTGATGACACATTTGGCTAATCCTCCCCTCGCAAGTGCTGGGATCCCATATGGGTGTTGCTCTGTGTCTTGCTGCCTCACTGTCCATCCAGCTCCCTGCTCGTGGCTTGGGAAAACAGTTGAAGACAACCTGAAGACAACCCAAAGCCTTGGGACCCTGCACCCGCATGGGAGACCCAAAAGAAACTCCTGGCTCCTGGTTTTGGATCAGCTTAGCTCCGGCCATTGTGGCCATTTGGGGAATGAACCATTGGATGGTAGATCTTTCTGTACCTTCTTTTCTGTAAATCTGCCTTTCCAACAAAAAATAAAGTTTTCACAAAGGGCCAGTGCAGCAGATTAAGATGGACTTGCAGTAGTATCATTCCATACCTGAATGCTGGTGGGAGTCTCGCTGCTCAAGCCTTTGGGCCGGCAGCAAATGGCTCAAGTTCTTGGGCCCCTTGCACCCAGATGGAAACAAGGCTGGGGTCCCTGGCCAGCTGTGGCAGCCATTTCAGTAGTTAGTCTTCCTTTTCCTCTGTTTTGTGTGTGTGTGTGTGTGTGTGTGTTATACCTTAGCAAAAGCTTTTTTTTAATATGTTTTTTCTTTTTTTGTTGTAAATTTGACAATCTTTACAACCTCTCTCGTTTTTGAAAGAATAATTTTTCAAAAAGTTAAAAGAATCGCCCGGTGCTGTAGCCTAACGGCTGAAGTCCTTGCCTTGCGCACACGGGGATCTCATATGTGCACCGCTTCTAATCCTGGCGGTCCCACTTCCCATCCAGCTCCCTGCTTGTGGCCTGGGAAAGCAGCTGTGGACAGTCCAACGCCTTTCGACCCTGCACCCACATGGGAGACCCGGAGGATGCTACTTGTTTCGGATTGGCTCAGCTCCAGCCATTGTGGCCACTTGGGGAGTGAATCATCGGACGGAAAATCTTCCTCTCTGTCTCTCCTCTTCTCTGTATGTCTGACTTTCGAATACAAATAAATAAAAAAAATAAAAATTAAAGCCACCCTGGAGCTTGTTCACCATTTCACAAGTTAAAAAAAATTCTTTTTCCACAAGTTAAACCTTTTACAACTCCGCTGTTACGAAGGCCAAATTTAACGCAGTTTAAGATTGAAATTATTACAGTTGCTCACAATAGACTGTCAAAACCTGCAAGTTCCACAGACTCTTCTAAAAGCCTCTGTTCAAACTCAGT